TATATATATATATATATATATATATATATATATATATTAAAAAATTTTAAAATAAATTTTAAAGTAAAAATTTAAAATTTAAAAAATATTTTTTCCTTCTTAATTAAGGGTAAAAATTTTCGACTCAACACGATGACGCGACTCGAACTCGACATAAATTTTATGAAACGTACTTGATTATAACTCGACACAAACTTAAAAATGTTCTGACACGCGAACGAAAAATATAAAAAACTCATATTCAATTCAACCAGTCAAACCCAAAACTGATACCATCAACCCGTTTATTAAAAATAAACACTTTCTTTATTTCCTTATTTGTATGGTAACACGGAATTAACACGAAACTAACATATTTAATTAGTATTATATACATAAAATATTAATTATTCATTAAACACCGACATAATTATTATATAAAAAATATTTTTACTTATTATTATTATTATATTTATTTAAATTAATTTTTAGTTTATAGAAAAAATATTAACATGAATTCAATTAAGTTAAAATATAATATTATTGTTAAATTTTTTATTCAAAGTTTATGTACATCAACGCGAATCGAACATAACACGAAAATAAATAGGTCAACTTAAAACTCAACACCACACAATTAATTAAATGAGTTGAGTTAAATTTGACTAATATTCGATACAAACCCATAATGATTCAAATAATAGCTTAAGGGATTGTTTGGCAAAGGGTACGGGGCTTGGCAAGATGGGTTTGGAAAAATACTCCAAAGTTATCCCAAATTTTTTGATAGTATAGAAAATTCAGTCTCGAGTTTTCAAACTCGGCCCATAGCTAATCTAAAGATTAAACTCATGATCATGAGTTTCAACATCATGAATTTCGTTAAACTTAAGAAAATAGTGGGTTTGAAAAGATGGGTAGGAGGTTAAGGATCTAAAAGATAATTGTACCATTTAATATAGATATGAATTGGATTGATCAATGGTAAAATAGTCATTTATATGATAAATAGTTATTAATCATTATGATATATTCGTGAATCCTACTTGTATATGTGTTGCATACCAAACATGGGTATGGACCAGATTGAATGTTAAATCTCATCTTTACAAAAAAGGGTTTAAGTTTGAAAGGGCTTGAAAAAACTAATTCAAACTCCTCCTCAAAATTCATCAAATCAAGCCCTAAGTGATAATAAGGACGAACGGTAAATTAAGATGTTTTTAAGTTTGAATCTTGCCAATTTTTTTGGATTATGTTATGAGAAATTTATCTCTCGTGAATACCTTAATTTCATATCCTACTTTCGACGTGAATGACCTACCTTCGACTAGACTAGAAAAAAAATTAATCGAAATACACATAAGTGGCTTGAACACCCCAGGCGTTTAACCAAAAAAAAAGTGGTTAATTACAAAATGTCTCCTTTAAGTTTGGGTCATGTTTCAATCAGATCCTTGTAGTTTCAATTTTGACAATTTTCCTCATTCAAGTTCAAATTTGTTCAAATGCACTAAATTAACAGAGGAATTAAACAGAAAATTCTAAAATTATTCTTGTACCCTTAATTTTTTTCCCCATTTTTTCTCTTTTTTTTTTCTAATTGGTCTTGCAACTCCAACACCACTGATCCCAATCTCCCTTATCACCACATTCTTTACAAACATCACCACCAGCCACCAAATTACCCACCATTAGCATCACCTAACCACCATCCATTATAACCCAACCAACCAAAAGAGAAAGAGAAAATCAAAAAAGGAGACCTGTTGCAAATACCACACCAACAACCAAATTCAATTAACATTACCATTGTAAATGCAACACCATAACCACCAGAAGATCTTCGGCTTCACCTGTGTAATATTCGGCAACATTAGGTGATGCTAATGTGGGGGGGGGGGGGGGGGGGGGGGGGGGGGGGTGNGGGGGGGGGGGGGGGGGGGGGGGGGGGGGGGGGGGGGGGGGGGGGGGGGGGGGGGGGGGGGGGGGGGGGGGGGGGGGGGGGGGGGGGGGGGGGGGGGGGGGGGGGGGGGGGGGGGGGGGGGGGGGGGGGGGGGGGGGGGGGGGGGGGGGGGGGGGGGGGGGGGGGGGGGGGGGGGGGGGGGGGGGGGGGGGGGGGGGGGGGGGGGGGGGGGGGGGGGGGGGGGGGGGGGGGGGGGGGGGGGGGGGGGGGGGGGGGGGGGGGGGGGGGGGGGGGGGGGGGGGGGGGGGGGGGGGGGGGGGGGGGGGGGGGGGGGGGGGGGGTGGGGGGGGGGGGGGGGGGGGGGGGGGGGGGGGGGGGGGGGAGGGTGTGGATTTCAGGTGGAGATAGGTGTGGATTTCAGCAATGCTAATGGTGTGGCGTGCTTGTGGGCGTCCCTTGACCCTCACATCTTGCTCCGGCAACCCCCCAACCCCCACCTCTTGCTCCGACAGCCCCCAATCCAATTCAATTGTTCCTTGCCAAACAATTATTTGGATTGGACAACATACAAAACCCATCAAATCAAGTGCCTGAGTGGATTTAGGTGGGATGAGTTAAGATACAAAAAATTTAATCCATTCCTATATTTATTGATTATCCAAGCACTATATTTATCGATTATCCACACACAATCATCGTGAATCCAATGGTTGAGTGATTAGGTCAGTATATAGTGATTGAAGCTTTCAGGATGACAAAAAAGGGGGGGGGGGGGGGGGGGGGAATTGTGTTGTCTTGGCGCATCTGTCATTAATGCTTAGTCATCATGATAGTAGGCCTAGACTCTTAGAGTGCAGGTGCTTACAGACGCGCATTTATTTGTCTTGTCACCATCACTCACTCCGTCGTAAATGATGGGTCACGTCGTATTANCATGGGGAGTGGTAGATATGGAGTAAATATTTATATGATATCACCTTTTCATTGACATATGCTGTCATCACCATTTAAAAATAGAATATTGTTGGTGATAATTAATGAAATTACTTATAAAAGATGACATAATATCACCGTTTCATCGAGTATTTTCTCGTAGAGATGAAATTATGGAGGCTTTTTTTTTTTTTTTCCTCCTTTTGTGTCTGGCATCAGATATGATCAGCATATGGTAAATTTGAGTTATGGAGTATGTGACACTATAGATACATGGGCAGCTTGGGTTATGCCTTATTTATATGATGATTTTTGCAACATTTCTATTCCTACTTCACTAGATATATCTTTTTTTATTGAACTAGCAATTTTAAGCAAATTTTCTCAAGATTCAAACCTTATATAAAATTTCAAAGGATAACTAAAGTGATAATAGAAATGAGTTGTAAATTCAGACATCATGATATCAAATTTCGGCACTTCATTAGAGATAGGTCATGAAAGATTTATCTCTTATGAATACCTTAATCACGGCGTAGTTGGTCTACCTTTGATCGGGTTAGGGAAGGGATTAGTTGAGATACGTGTAAACTGACCCAGACACCCATGACAATTGAATAAATAATGTCAAGCCATGACTCACTTCAAAACGTTAGGAAGTTTTGATTTCTAAGGGGTTTTTTTTTTTTTTTGGGGTCTTTT